AACCCTTGATTCACCCTAAACCTTAAACCCTAAACCCTAAACCCTAAACCCTAAACCCTAAGCGGCTTTGAGTTTGTTTTTTTCTGAGTGTCTAAGGTTGAGACCCTGGGCCCCCAGTCTGGGCCCTTAACCCGGGGATCCTTTTACACCTACTATAGTTTTAGGGTTTAGGGTTTAGGGTTTAGGGTTTAGGGTTTAGGGTATACCCTATATGTTCTAGAAAGGCCTAAGGGTCCATATTCGGCGCTCATACTTCTAACCTTAGAGGGTGGCTGTTTCAAGGTTCAGAGTCTGGAGCCTAAACTAAACCCTAAACCCTGAACCCTAAACCCTAAACCCTGAACCCTAAACCCTAGAATTCTGCAGTTCAGGATTTTGGGGCTTCGTGGTTTCTGGGGCGTTAGAGTTTCTTGGGCTTCTGAGTTTCCCACGGTTCTGGGGTTTAGGGCTTCGGCTAGCTAGTACTAACCATAGTCATAACAGTGGAACTTGTTTGTTTGTAAACAGGAACTGGGGTAAGGGTTCAGGGCTTTGGGTGAGGGTTTAGGGTTAGGGCTTAGGGTTTAGGATGAGGGGTGTAGTGCTGGGTGAGGACTTTCTTCCTCTGTGTTGGTAATGTTGTTGGGCTGCGTGTCTTTCCACAGCGGTCTATCTAAGTCTCCGTCCAAATCAACCTAAGCCCTAAGCCCTCCTAAACCCGCAAAGTAGGTAACATAATGGCCCAACACCCCTAAACGACTATTGTTCTGCATGCTTTTGGGCTCCAGGTTGTAGGAGGTAGGGCTTAAAGTTTAACTCTAAGTATTTGTAGCGCGAGCTGGGGTACCTGCCTTTTTGTCCTGCCACTAACCACCGATAAGATTCCAGAGACGACAAAAACACCTTCAGAACTGAATCCATATGTCGGATTCCCCATAACTGCAAGTATACCTAGTAGTAGAATCTGTAACCTTCAACCCGAAACCCTAAACCGTCGGGGTACTAAAACCCCTATATGCTCCCAACCCTAAACCCTAAACCCTAAACCCTAAACCCTAAGCCGTCTACTCCCAAAGGGTTAACCTTTAGCTCCCCAGGATGCTCGACAAGTAAGGGTTTAGGGGTTTAGGGTTTAGGGGTTGGGCTTAGGGTTTAGGAGTTTAGGGGTTTAGCGGTTTAGGGGTTTAGGGGTTAAGGGGTTAAGGGTTTAGGGTTTAGGGGACAAGTAGGTTGGGAGTCTCTGGGCGGCAGTTCCCAGAGAATCCAATGTCCCTTAATTAAGGAATATACCAAAAATTATAGTAGGATCCCTAATATGATTTAAGGTATATTGCTTAATTAAGGGGTATTGGAGTCTCTGACCATTGCCAAGGAAGAAGCGCACCAAGCGCACGGACATCCCCATTCATGTCCGGGACTCGGGTGATAGGGTTTAGGGTTTATAGGGTTTGGGGTTTAGGGTTTTGGGTTTTGGGTTTATAGGGTATTGGGTTTTGGGTTTAGGGTTTAGGGTTTAGGGTTTAGGGTTTATAGGGTTTAGGGTTTAGGGTTTAGGGTTTTGGGTTTTGGGTTTAGGGTTTAGGGTTTAGGTTAAGAGTTTTGGTTCTTTTTCGTGCCAGGGCTTAGAGGTTATGGGATTTCAGGGTCTTTGGGTTTCATGGCTTTCTTGAAGTAACCAATATACAACACCAAGGGTAATAGACGAATTACATGGGGTCCCTTCCGTTTTGTACTGGTGCCTTCCCAAAGGCTATGTTGGTGCGGTGACTAGAAGTACTTAAATCCCCCGACAGCCCAGATGACCCATGTCCCCTAAATGCTAGAGGGAGGCTGAACATGGTTCAAGGTAATATAGCTCAAGCTTTTATTGGAATGCATTGGCCGCACAAATAAAATTTCCTGCAAAAAGTGGAGCTTGAGCCAGAACCAGACGGGACCGACGCGCACCAACCCCAAAACCCCAAAACCAAGAGCCTTGAGGACCCACGAACCTCGAGCACCCTGGAACTAAAACCCTATTAATGTAGGGGCCCAAATAATTACCTATACTATTTGCGGGGAGTTCCTTACTCGAATTATAGTATAATGGGCCCTAAAACCTCATTCGAAGAATTAAGGTCCCTAAACCCTAAACCCTTCTAGAGCCTTCATAGAACCCTTCAAGGAAGCCCAAAACCTCACTCTGAGAATACAGGCCCCTGGGCCTATGACCCGAAACCCTAAAACCTTTAACCCTAAACCTTCACGCTCAACTATGGAGTTCGGATAACACTTTGCCCTCTGCGCATTTCGATACGGCATACTGCCTCGCCTATCGTGGCCAAGGCCAGCTGTGTATTTCAGAACCTCTCGAGGCTGCTCAGTATCGTCAGCTTAACTACCAAACCCTACTTTTCTGTAGGTTCCTAGTATAAACCCTAATATGGAATTTATAGGGACCCTACAAAAAAGTAGGTTTTTGGTGAATTGCAGAGATCACGCGGGCCTCAGCCGGGCGGATGCGCCTTTTCGCAGCGCATCCGCGACCGAATAATGCCTCGATCAACGGCGTTCGCTGTTAAACTGTCATTGCGATTGGAGAGTCACATCGGCGCATGCCTTCCGTGGTTTGGCATATGGTGGTCCTCGACTGTCGGGATCTGGAAGACGTATGGAGGTCAGTATGTGCGTACGATGGCTCTTTGGACATTGGTGAGGTCCTAGACGACTTCAACCGCGATGCCCCGCCGGGCTGGTGCACGCGGCTTCAGGAAAAGCATCAGCAGCACGGTCGCATTCCGGCGGCCCCTGGGCAAGCTTTTGTCCTTGTTTTTGTGCCTACTGAGACCTTCACTCTCTCTGGCTCTCGGAAAGCCAGCGCGGCGGGCGACGGGACCACGCGGCGTAGCGCTCCACGTCGTGGCGGCAGCGCGGCGAGTGACGTCCGCAAGCGGCGTATGGACAGCCGGAATAGCTCGTTGTACAAGAGCCGCGGCAGCTCCAAGGACAAGCGACGCAAGCGGAAGCGGTCGCCCAGCCCCAGCTGCAGTCCGCCACGGCCGCTGGGAAACTATAAGGGCCCGGACAAGGACGGCGATGTAAACAGCAATACCCGATTGCTGACCCAACTCTGGGAAATGACCCTGAGGTCGCTAACCTAGGCAGACCCATGCTCGCGGTGGTTGTCTTTGGGCTCAGGCTTCTCAAAGCCCTTCATGTACAACCCTGTTTTACGACGCCAGCGTTGAACTTTAGGGTTTAGGGCTTGCCTTAAGGACGAGGTGAACCCTAAAAGGGTTGAAGGTTCATATATACCATATAGGGATTCACAGTATAAGGGTATAGGGCCCCTACTTTTGAAGGTCATTTCGTCCTTAAGGTAGGGATCAGAAGGTGTTAGACAGCTCTGACAATTCGTCTCAGTGGGCTTGCTGGGGTTATGTAGCCCTATCCCGTGATCAGGAGCATAATGAGGCTCCAGATGTTCTTAGCGTTCTTCTGGTTGGCTCCTTAGACTTTAACTTTTTGGGTTTCTATATGAACTATAATATCTAGGCTAAAAGTTTAACTTTTAGGAGGGGTTCAGAAGTACGCCAAGTGTTGATTGCTAGGGCTAATGCTCTTGAAAACAGGTCTAGGGTTTAGGGAACATTAAACCCTAGACTCCTAAATCGTTGTGCATGAACCAAGACCAGGCCGCAGGTGCGGGCATGAAGCTGCTAGGGGCGTTGGGTTTGGCATTTTGGATGGTTCTGTATACGGTTTTTAGATGGCTTTAGGGTTCAGGGTTTAGGGTTTCTGCATGAGTTTGCCAGGACTTCTCTACGCCTTGGTATAGGGTTTGGAGAAAATAAGCTGGGGCAAAGGTCATGCGCCGACATGATCGCATCCCACCAACCTTAAACCCGCAAGCTCGTAAGCACTGCGGGAAGCTCGCAAATTTAGGTTCAGGGTTTTGGGCTTAAGGGTCCGTACTTTCTGGATAGGTCTTTACAGCAGGATTCGCTGGCTTAGGCCCTATAAACCCTATAAGCCCTAAAACCCTAAACCCAACACCTTAAAACCTTAAACCCTAAACCCTCAAATCGAAAGCCTAGACGCCCGCAAGCACACCAAACGCGCCTTCAAGAACCCTTGGCACGGAAGCCGGCAACCTCACTCCCAAACCCTCCTAACCCCTAAACCCTAAACCCCTAACCCCGTAAACCCTAAACTAAACCCTAAAACCCTAACCCCCTAAACCCTAAACCCCTAAACCCTTAACCCTAAACACCTTAACCCAAAGCCCCAAGAGGCCGACACCCTGAGAGATCTAAGCAACCTAGAGACTCCCAAACCCTTTGACTAAGGGATATTAGGGTTTTGGGGTTGAGGGTTGAGGGTCTGGGGGTTTAGGGGTTGGGGTCTAGGGGTTTAGGGGTTAGGGTTTAGGGGATATTAGGGTTTTAGGGTTTAGGGTCTAGGGGTTTAAGGGATTGGGTTTAGGGATATACCTTAGACACGACTGCTGATGATCTAAATCCTGCCTTACCTTAAGGACTGTAAAACTTTTAAACTATGGGAATTTATGTTATATCCCTTATTATGGGTAATGCAGGATTTGAATCATCAACCGTAGGGCGGCATGGTTTAAGGCCTATTCCTTGGATGCGTGGTTTAGGGTTTAGGGTTTAGGGCGGGAATCGCCGGCCCTGAACCCGTATACAACCACCACAAGCCCAAGCTCTGAAACCTTAACCCGAAACCTCTTTAAACCCTAAACCCTATATGCCCGAAAAACCCTAAACCCCCCAAACCCTAAACCCAAAAACACTATATCCCAAGCCCCTAAACCCTGAACCCCCAAACCCCAAACCCTAAAACCCCTAAACCCCTGAACCCCTGAAACCTAACCCCTAAACCCTAAACCCCCAAACCCCAAACCTCTAAACCCCAAACCCTAACCCACCCCCCAAAAAATAGCAAAACAACCCTAAACCCCTAAACCCCTAAACCCCTAAACCTTAAACCCTAAACCCAAAATAAAAATAAAAAATGCCAAGGCGACCGACACCCCGGGACTTCCTCGGGCGGTTGTTCAGAAGCAGGAGGCCGGCGGTAGACCGGTGGGCTCCTCTAAGTGCCATAAGCCCTACAGCCTTTGGCTTTAGGGTGTGGGGTTTGGGGTTTAGGGTTTAGGGGTTTAGGGTTTAGGGTTTGGGGTTTTGGGGTTTTGGGTTTGGGGTTTAGGGGTCTAGAGGTTCAGGGCGTTGTGCCATAAACCTTCAACCCTGAGACGGTGTAGGCTTTAGGCTGCAGGGTTGCTTCTGTTCTTCGAGGCTAGAATACACCAACACCAACCACAAGACATTAAGTACATGAAGAAATAAGACCTTCGTTGCAATATTTCAAAGAGCGAGGGAGAGAGAGAGAGATATATATATATATACACACATGTATATGTATACAGAGAGAGACAGACAAACATATAGATTGATAAGTTCATGTGCTAAGCAGGGAGCAAGGAAGTGTCGGGCTCAGGGTTTTGTTGTTTCTAGGGCATCACAAGCCACGTTCTCAAACAGACACAAAAGCTGTGCAGAAGCAGAAGGCAGGGAAGTTTAGGGCATGTTTGTTGTTTAAATGTTCAGGGCAGGGGGAGGGAGGTTCGAAGGTCTTTGGGGTTGAAAACTGTCAAGAGTTCAGGGTCCACTGGGTTTGGGGTTTAGGGTTTCCTTTGTATGCACTCTCTCTTTTAGGCATGTGGGGCTTCTGCATTCTACATCACCCAGTAGCATGCTGACGCCCATTTTACTCTAACCCTTTAACGGGTACCTTTGTCACGAATAGGTTCCTGACGAACCTGGGTTATCAAGGCTCAATGCTGGGCGGCCCCGCACAACAACATCCCTGTTAAGGGTTCAGGGTTTAGGGTTTCTGGCGATCAGGGTTTAGGGTACAGTATTTTTGGTTCAGCCAAGCAACGCAGCTATCCTGGCACTTCCAACACGGATGGATGAGTCCGGTGCAAAGTATTCATAGACCTCACCCTAACCTTATGCCCTAAACTCTACAAGTTGAATTGTAACCTGAACCTTCACCGCGAATCCAAATTCAACTGTACTCCCAACCCAAGCACTGCTTCGAGGTTTTTTTGGTTTCGGGTTCAGGGTCCAGGTTCTGAGGGTTTCCGACTTCAACCGTGAACCGTACTCGTACTGCCAACCTAGGATGAGGAGACCGCGATGCAAGCGGACATGAAGGCGCCCATCTTGCCATTGCACGCAGAAGCCCCTAAACCCTAAACCCTAAACCCTAACCCCTAAACTCCTAAACCCCTAAACCCTGAACCCCAAAACTCTAAACCCCAAAACCCCCAAACCCTGAACCCCAAAACTCTAAACCCCAAAACCCAAAACCCTAAAACCCCAAAACTCTAAACCCCAAAACCCCCAAACCCTAAAACCCTAAACCCTAAACCCCAAACCCCTAAACCCTGAACCCCAAAACTCTAAACCCCAAAACCCAAAACCCTAAAACCCTAAATTTTAAAGAGACGGCAAGGCGAGAGCCCGCCCGAAACTAAACTGCAAGGTGAGAACACTAGGGTTTTCAGTGTGTCCTATAGTTTAGGGTTTAGGCTTTAGGGTTTAGGGTTTAGGGTTTAGGGCTTCGGGTTCTAGTGTTTTAGACTCCGAAGAATGGCATTATTAAGCAGTCAAACATTTACATTAGCCCAGATGTTTTGGGGTTTGGGCTTAGGTTGATGCACAACCAAACCGACAGGGCTCAGCAACACGAACAGGATGTGAGTAGACTCCTTGTGGGTGCAGCGTGGGTAGTGCTTGAGTAATTGGACCCTCCGGGAAAGCGGCAAGACTCTACGAAGTGCGGCGCACGCAGATGTTTTTAGGTGAAGTAATATACCCTAATCCTAAACCCTCGTAGCTAACTCATAAATACTCCATGTGATACTCTAAACCCGACATGCTAAATCCTAAACCTTCATCCTAAAACCTATAATATACCTTCTTAATTCCTTAACCTGAACCCTCAACCCTAAACCCTAAACCTGAATCCTAAAACCTTGGAGTTCAACTGTTCAGAATGAGACCATCTGAGTTTGCGAATGCTGCAGCGTCCCCAGAAAACCTGCAGAGGGTTTAGGGTTTAGTGTGATACACTTTACACTTTTTCGGATAATATTAGCCACGATATTACCCACTATAAAACTGAAAGTGTCCACTTTTGGGGGCTTAAGAACTCAGCAACTAAGCCTACGAGGCCTTTAGGCTTCTTTGTTTGGGGGCTTAAGGTTTAGGAGACGAGGGTTCGCTTTACAGGTGCTTGATGGGACCTGTCGCAGGTTTGGGTTTGTTAAAGGATTCATATAAGGTTCCCATCACGTTTGACAGCAAGGGTGTTGGGGATTGGGTTTTTGAGGTGTTTAAGTTTAAGGTTTAGGCCTCGAGATGTGTGACTACTTGGGGCGTGGGCTTACCGCGAAAGCCCACATCTCCTTAATCACGGAGTTTAGGGTTTAGGGTTTATGTTTTTAGTTCGAGGTAAATTATTTTTCAAGGCTGGTGGGCCATTCCACGGCAGGTGCATGTGCTACGGTTGCAACCGGAAGCCTATGAAAAGGATCGTGTTATATCATGTTTTCCTTCTCAGCAGAGAGCCAGTTTAATTAGAGATTTGGCATTAGTGAAAGGTGCTTATGATTTTTAGGATTTCAGGTTCACCTTAACCCCAAATAACCTATATACCTTTTTAAGGACTTGAGGCAGTGTGATGTCGCTCGTCTTCGTTTGATGCCACCTTCCCGCCGTCAGTCTGAATCGTTGTCTTCACAAGGCACCTGGACAGTCAGCACGGCGCAGCCACACTAGGAGCCACGGATTCCGCAATGGCAGGGCGGCACAGGTGTTCACGCCAGACGGGCGGCAGAACAGTGGCTGGAAGAAGCAATCGAGCAGGCGCTGCAGATTATCCAGGAGACCAACTCCATAAAGGATGCCAAGATCTGCTCCCTTGTCAAGGCTCTCCACAGAGAGCTATGGCCAGATTGGCCACTCCTTCACAAAGAATTCATAATGAGGAACCCTATTAAAAGCACGGTTCTTTAGGATTTAGTAGTAATCTAAAAGGTTAACCCTTTATTTCCCTGGCTTATTGGGGAAGTAAGAATAGGGCCTGGAGCTTAAGGCTTCGTCCTAGCTTTGCTTTCGAGCCTCGGGGGCTTCTCGGATGCATGGTTGTTGGGGTTAATATAGGGGCCTTAATAATTAGAATAGGGTTCCTTGGGATTCTTTTCAAGGGGCTCCTTGAAGGGTTCTAGACGAGTTTAGGAAGTAGGGGCCTTAATAATTGGAACAGGGTTGTGGTCTATTATACTACAATTATAGTAAGGAACCCCGGACAATTGCATAGGTAATGATTTCGGCCACTACTTGAAACCCCTGCCTGAGGTATACCATACTACACATATAACGAGGAACCCCCAAAACCCTTTTCTAACACTAACGCCCCTAAACCCTAAACCCTTCTAATAGCCGTTCTAGAACCCTTTAAGGAACCCTTTAAAGGAACCCCAACAATCCTCTCTGATTATTAAGGCCCCTGCATTTTAGGCGTAGGGCTTATCTGTATTTTTGTTCGGATCTTCGGCTTGCAGTCGAACCGGAATAGGGTTTAGGATTTAGGATTTAAGGTTTTAGGGTTTAGGGTTTAGGATTTTAGGGTTTAGGGTCTAGGGTTTTAGGGTTTAGGGTCTGGGGTTTTAGAGTTTAGGATTTACTAAACCCTAAACCCTAAACCCTAAACCCTAAACCCTAAACCCTAAACCGGGTCTAGGGTTCCCGGGTTTGGAGTCTAGGGTTTTATAGGGTTTAGGGTCGAGGGTTTACGGTTTAGGGCCTTGGGTTTTAGGGTTTAGGGTCTAGGGTTTTACGGTTTAGGGTCTAGGCTCTACAGTTTTAGGGTTTAGGGTCTGGGGTTTTGGGTTATAGGGGTTTGGGTTTAGGGCCTAGGGTTTTAGGGTTTAGGGTTGTAGGGTTTAGGGTTTAGGGTTTAGGCTCTAGGGTGTTAAGGTTAGGGTTTAGGGTGATCCCAATTCCTGCAGGAGATCATTGAGACGGACGAGAAGCGAAACGACTTGGAATCCTACATCCTCACCATGCGGGACTGCGGTTTAGGGTTTAGGGTTTAGGGTTTAGGGTTGTCGAATAATGGATTTTACAGTTCTGCAAGGTTCCTCATTACACCTGTGGTGAAATAAAAATTAATCCCCCCCCCGCACACCCTAATTCTTCAAATTCTTGAGGCATGAAGGTCCGCATAATAGTCAACAGGGCAAGCTGTGGGGGATGATAGAGGGCGTCCAACCCTGAGTCCTAAACAAGACTTGCAGCTGTATACTCGAGTTAGTAGGTGATCTTGTATTCACGTGGTCTTGTGTTTGAGTCGGCATACAAGTACAACTGCACACACACACACACACAGGCACCCTTTCACTAGCACCTTCATGCCGTTTACTCGCCCGACGACTGCCTCAAATGGCTGCCTGTTTGTGGATTGAACTATCCGCCTGTCTACCGGTTATTGCATACTTCATGCACAGTAACAAGCAGGATGCACAGATACATCGACGAATGCCTATATGCAGGCAGATACACATACATACATGCCGTAGACACACACGCACACATAGACATACATGCAGACAGGCATATATGTATATACACACACACATGCGTGCGTATGCAGTTATATAGCTTGATTTCCGTACATACATGCATACAAGCGTGCATACATACATACTTACATAGTTACAAAAATATATTCCTACGCATGCATGTATAAATGTGGGTATATATAGTGCGGTGTATGTGTATGTATGTATGTATGTATGTATGTATGTATGTATGTATGTATGTATGTATGTATATACACATATTTTGTTCATGTATACATTATCTATATATCTATATATCTATATATGTATATATGTTTTTGCATACCTACATAGGCATACGCTTGGACATAGAAAAAGATATACACATATTCAGACCCAAACACGTTTTTGAACATACATACGTTCGTGCAGACATGCATACACACATACCTACGTATATACCTACATACATATCCGCATGCATACATTCAAGAACAAAACGCACAAGCCAACAAACCCACAAACATCCAAACAAGCACATATACATGCATCAATCAATGTTCGCATGCTCGCATATACATACTCGTATACGCATACATACATATATACATATACAGACATATGCATATGCATATACATACGACAGCATTTACATACATATACATATACATACACACGCACATATATATATGTATATGTGTGTGTATACATACACATACACATGCGCATGCTCAAAACACTGAAGCCTCAACCCTAAAACCTCGGAGACCACGAGAATTCCAGCATGAAGGACAAGTGCAGCGAGGGTGGCCAGTATGGAGCCTTCATCAGTTCTGCAGCTCCTTGCCTGCATGTCGGCTTGGTATTACCCAGAGAGCCCAATACCCCTGCATTAAGGAATATAGCTTAAATTATAGGGCCTTAATATTAGAATCTAGGGTATATTCCTTAATCAAGGGGTATTGGGTTCTCTGGGTAGTTCCCCGAATCATAATCGTAGTTCCCTAATATGGGAACCCTACATTTTTTCTACATAGGTGCTTAGGGCCCTTTGGGAAACATTATAAGAACCTCATCCTCAAGCTTGGAAACCAGATTAGGTCGAAGAGGGCTAAGGGTCTCGAGGGTTTATCGGGTTTATACCATGAACGCGGGGTCTCGCTATCTATGTTTTCATAAAGCTTTACTGGGCTTTGGAGTACCATATTTGAATACTTTTTTGGGGGGACCTGTTACTGTTCCTTAAAGGAACCATTATGAAATAAGCGTCTATACTTTTTTCTCCCTGGTTACTTCAAAGCCAGGTTTATGATGCGGCATAGCGTGTCTTATAGGGTTTCACAGGTCTGATACAGGCCTTACTTTTGCAAGACAGCTCTCAGGGTTCAGAAGGGCTTCATGGGTGTTTAAAGGGTTTCATGCGGTGCTGCCGGCAAATAGGGGACTCTAATACAGTACCACTCAGCTACCCTAATTTTCGCACACTCGCACATATCATCCTCGCGCTCAAGTTTTTCAGGAGTTGCACAAACATCGGATTGCAAGAAAGCTTGGACAGGATGATGTCGCTGAAAAAGCATGGCAATACAGAGTAGGTTTTCTGTTTCTGGAAAGAACAGGCACCGTCCTTCCACTCCTGCATCCTTCCCAGGGCAGGAGAAAGTTGGGACATGGGTTTAGGAGGGTTAGTGCTGGGATCCCTTATACTCTACGTTAAGGGCATGAGATACGAATGTTCCAACTTTCTGGCTTCTACTATAGCGTCTTCAATACTACAGTTAAGCCCCCAAGTAACACGCCATCGCCCAGCAAAGGAGAGGGAAAAGTTCGATTCCGACTTGCTGAAGGCCGAGGACACCGCGATCAGCCGTTGCTGGTTGGTTTGAAAGGGTCGTATTATAGGGGCCGTAATAATTAGAATA